AGCGTAGTGGATAGCGTAGTGGTTAGCGTAGTGGTTAGCGTAGTGGTTAGCATAGTGGTTAGCGTAGTGGTTAGCGTAGTGGTTAGCGTAGTGGTTAGTGTAGTGGTTAGCGTAGTGGTTAGTGTAGTGGTTAGCGTAGTGGTTAGTGTAGTGGTTAGTGTAGTGGTTAGCGTAGTGGTTAGTGTAGTGGTTAGCGTAGTGGTTAGTGTAGTGGTTAGTGTAATGGTTAGTGTAGTGGTTAGTGTAGTGGTTAGCGTAGTGGTTAGCGTAGTGGTTAGCGTAGTGGTTAGCGGAGTGGTTAGCGTAGTGGTTAGCGTAGTGGTTAGCGTAGTGGTTAGTGTAGTGGTTAGTGGAGTGGTTAGTGTAGTGGATAGTGTAGTGGTTAGCGTAGTGGTTAGCGTAGTGGTTAGCGTAGTGGTTAGTGTAGTGGTTAGCGTAGTGGTTAGCGTAGTGGTTAGCGTAGTGGTTAGCGTAGTGGTTAGTGTAGTGGTTAGCGTAGTGGATAGCGTAGTGGTTAGCGTAGTGGTTAGCGTAGTGGTTAGTGTAGTGGTTAGTGTAGTGGTTAGCGTAGTGGTTAGTGTAGTGGTTAGTGTAGTGGTTAGCGTAGTGGTTAGCATAGTGGTTAGTGTAGTGGTTAGTGGAGTGGTTAGTGTAGTGGTTAGTGTAGTGGTTAGCGTAGTGGATAGTGTAGTGGTTAGCATAGTGGTTAGCGTAGTGGTTAGCGTAGTGGTTAGTGTAGTGGTTAGCGTAGTGGTTAGTGTAGTGGTTAGTGTAGTGGTTAGCGTAGTGGTTAGCATAGTGGTTAGCGTAGTGGTTAGCGTAGTGGTTAGTGTAGTGGTTAGCGTAGTGGTTAGTGTAGTGGTTAGCGTAGTGGTTAGCATAGTGGTTAGCGTAGTGGTTAGTGTAGTGGTTAGCGCGCTGCGCGACAAACCTGGCGACACGAGTTTGATTCCCGCTCACAGCCAACACCAGGGACGATTATCTTAGCTGGTCCTGAGCCTCCCTTAGGTCGACTCAGTCTCAAATGAGTACCTGGTGCGGTGTGTAAACATCGCCACTGGGGAGACAAAGGCGGTCGGGCGTGGTGCTCGCCACCCACCCCTTCGTGCGCTGTGCCCACCTTCATAGGTGCTCGCTAACAGCACTTGCCTCAACAGTCTGTTAAGTCTATACGGGGGGGGGGATCTTTGTCTTTGACCCACCGCATGCTGTGACGTGCGTGGGTGCCGTGAGTCACGTGTTTTACACTGGTGGCTGAGCATCGACTGCTGGCCACGAGGCTCCGTGTTGACCGCCACTCATGCTGCCCAGATCCACCTGTGGGCAAGCACTCAACCACCCCCACCCACTTGAGCCGTGCGGGATTTTCATGGGCAGATCTGGCCACTCGATTACTGACGCGACATGATATTTATTTACCCAGGAAAGCCTCACCTAGTCCCAAGATTCTTATTCACGGTGGTGGGTCCTGCTATTTTTCACAGTTGGGGGACTACGCTTGCTGTATAATTTTCACAATAGAGCAATTTGAAGGTTAAATTTCAAATGCGGACAATAACAATGGATCTTTAACGTCCACTGTGAAGCAAATGATGCAAATTTGTACGGTTAATGTACCTGCAATATTAAACTAAGGGGGACATGGGGCTTGAACCACAGACCTGTGAAACTAACGGCAAATGCACCGACAATTGGCGATGTCACTGTGGTGGTTGCAGTCCAAGATCATTCCATGATGTGGCGAGTTACAGGGACCATTGAAGTAGAATATCCTACTCTATGACAACTGGCTCAGTGGTGGTGATAGATACAGCAACGCTGGTATCGAGTTTTCAAAATCTATACAAAGCGTGTGCATATGCATCATTTTTTAAAATATATCAGCTTAAGAGAAATGAATCAGCAGGCACAGATTTGTTGTCATAGAAACACATTTTATTGAAGAAATATAATCTCCTTTAATCAAGATTTCATGACTATATTCAGTCATAGCAAACTCAGGACGCTGGTGCTGATTAGGCCGATAGTTTTGGTGGAGATGATGAAGATGGCAATTTTTTTATCTCCACGTTTATGGAATATAAATGAATGTAATTATATCACCAATGCAGTCCTAACGTGGCTGTTGAAATCAAGTCTTGACATGAGGGAATATCCTTCGAGAACTTCTACAGGAAGCAGAGCTTGAAACTATGTCGGGAAATCATCTTGGAAGGTGAACACCACATACCCACTGTTGGAATAACTTCAATAGGTCATCACTTGAAATACAAAATATTAATAATTCAGAGCCTTTCATCAACCCACTGCTGAATGAAGGCCTTCACACGCTGTGTTGGTCATGTGTGCTGTTTGACCGTACTTTACCGTGGTGGTCAATGCGGGTTGGTCAATGGTGTAAGCGCAGGATTGGTTCAGATATCACTCGGCACTGTTGTTAGTCATGGCCAGGAATCGAACTCAGCTGACCCGATTCATAGGGAAGTGTGAGACCCACTGTACCACTATTCCCCAAGCCTCTGTTAAACAACACGAAATGGCACTCATTGCCTCGTATTGACCAGGTGGCACCTTCATCATCCCGCAAACTGTTCATTTAAATATCTGGGTGGCGGTTAACTCATTTCGTCAGCTTACTGGGGTCCGCAGGAAGTCAACAGTGGTTGTCCTGTGGAGGGAATGCTGCCTGCCATAGGAATATATTATTTAAACTGCTCAGCTGAGGACCTCTGAAGCAGATGAGCAATCACCCAACAATCCAATCGAGTACAGACAGGCCATCGCTTTGACCTTTTTTTGCATTGGCATTGGTGGCAAGGCCGGAAGACCGAATGACAATCTGCATTCGCAAAGCCTGGCTTAACTTAACTCTCTAGCGGCTGTGCAGGTCAGAATCGGCGGTCCTCGGGCTGCGCGGGCCCAATGCTTGCCACGTGCATTCGCCTCACGAGACACCCAACCCTCACCTCACGTCACTTGCTTTGCATGTCATTAATAACACGGCCGTTTTGCCAAATTAAACAAAGGCTTCGCGGCACCGTTTCCGATGGCTCTGCTTAATGTGCGTGTCGCGTCCTCGCTGCGATAAGGTCACCTTGTAAATCCGCGCACGCGCCACCGCGGTGCGGCTCACGCAGGTGACACCGACGAAAGCCACCGCCGCATCCCGTTGCCGTATTCACGGTCACATCCGCCACGGGTCTTGCCCGGTTTTCCACGCGCAGACGCTCACTGTCGCGGGCGCCTTGCCAATTCCCTCCTCGCCTCCAGTTTCGCCGGCTGCGTTAATGTGACGAACAGTGCAGAGGCGCGTTTTTATTGGAGTGATTTTGTATTGAGGTTTTCCTGAAGGAGACCTTCGGAGGGAGTGGAAATTGAGCGGCATAGGACATTGGCTGAATGTTTTTTTTTTAAGACACGTCAGTAGCCACAGCTTCAAGTGTAATGATCTTGAGAGTTGGGAAAGTGATAAAAACCAATGCATTTTGTAATGGTATTCTGGTAGCAGGTTGAACATGTGAGCCTTATGGCGGTACCCCGGGGTACCATAGTGCCATGGTTCTCGGATAATGTCCGTGATGCAGTCATTTTTAGTCTGTTGACGGTCGGCGACGCGGCCGTCGAGCGTTCAGGGTTTCAGCGCAATCGTTCTCGCTGCGTTTCGACATCGCGGAGTGTGGCACTGGTTTCGGATTGATTGGTACCCCAGTCGCGGAGTTAAGTTCACCCCTGGAAAAAAAAAAGTGTCCCAGAAATAAAATGTTTAATTGCCTCGGTCATTTTGTATTATTTGGTTCCCCGGGGTCCCGCCATAACGATCATTTAATTGTATTTTTGGTGCAGTAATTGTATGCGGTATTCATTTATTATTTATGAACACATATAAACACCATGTTGAAATAATATCAGCCAATCACAAACAGAATGTTTTACCTTTGTGTGTATATATACACGAAACATATTATAAGAACTATGAGGTACTCTGGAAAGCAAGACACACCCAATACTTGTGCCCGGTTGACAATACATTTATACAAATCTGGTCACACGCACGCACACACAGACACCTACCGGATTTTAATATGCACCCCCACAAACTTTTCTCAAAAATACTATACATGATCTTATAATCTTGGGAATACGTTAAAAACATAAACTATATTGTACATATATGTTATTTGTGGATAGTTAACCGACTGCATTATCCAGGTCAACTTTTCAAAACGTCATAATAGACCACAACGGGATGTCAATTAACATCTCGCCACGTGGCGAGATGTTAATTATCTCTCCTGGTATACAGGAGGTCGTGGGTTCGGTCCCGACCCTGACGCCTGCTGCTGCTGTATATTTGGAGTTTGCGTGTCTCTCTCTCATCATCATCATCATCACGGTGGCTAGGAGATGTTAATTATCTCTCCTGGTGTGCAGGAGGTCGTGGGTTCGGTCCCGACCCTGACGCCTCCTGCTGTTGCTGCTGTATATTTGGAGTTTGCGTGTCTCTCTCTCATCATCATCATCACGGTGGCTAGATGTTAATTATCTCTCCTGGTATGCAGGAGGTCGTGGGTTCGGTCCCGACCCTGACGCCTCCTGCTGCTGCTGCTGTATATTTGGAGTTTGCGTGTCTCTCTCTCATCATCATCACGGTGGCTAGATGTTAATTATCTCTCCTGGTATGCAGGAGGTCGTGGGTTCGGTCCCGACCCTGACGCCTCCTGCTGCTGCTGTATATTTGGAGTTTGCGTGTTCTCCCCGTCGTCGCGTGGCCTTTTTAGAGTATTCGGCTGCTATACATTTCCACACGATAAGCCACTTCGTTGAGCTATCATTTGTGATAGTCAAATCGCTTCTGAAAAAAGATCTATGTAGCTCAATGGGCCTTACTTGGTGAAATAAAAAAAGAATGTTCTTTAGTTTTTTCATGATTGACTGGACTTATAAGTCTGCACGATATCAAGTGTTCGGGCACTCACTCGGCCCCTGTGGCACTCTCGCAGGTGGAGAACTCGGGCGACCCCTGGAGAGACTTTCAGAACCAACAGAACCTGACGTACTGGGAGTGCGTCTACCTGCTCATGGTCACCATGTCCACGGTGGGCTACGGCGACGTCTACGCCAAGACCACGCTCGGACGCCTCTTCATGGTCTTCTTCATCCTGGGAGGCCTGGTGGGTGTCTGCTGTGGGCATTGTGAATAGTGACTTAAAGATCTATCTATCATCATCATCATCATCGCGATCCATGGGCGGATAGCGCGTAGGTGTCCACTGCACATGTTGTCATTTATTTCCAATTTACTCCGTCTTGTGCCAGTATGCTGAAATAGCACAACATCTTTCTGGCACCCATCTTTTGTGATGCCGTCAAGCCATTCTCTGTGAGGGCCTCCTCTCTTTCCGGTTCCTTCCATTTTTCCCGAACAACATCACACGTTTAATGTTCCTGTTGTTGTCCATCCTACCTATGTGTCCAACACGAGTGGCAGTTTCCTTCTCATCACTGCCTGCAACAGGTTGTCTTCTTCCATGTGCAAACCTTTTATTACTTCTACATTGGTCACTCTGTGGGTCCACATCTACATCATGCGATGACAGATTCAGGTGAGGCTGAATTAATTTCTGCTGCTGATGTTGCTGTGCCTCCGCTGAATTTGCGAAGTTGGCAGCGGTTTACAGTGTGCCCTGCGGTTTACGATGCGCCCTGTGGTGTACGATGCACCCTGTGGTGTACGATGCGCCCTGTGGTGTACGATGCACCCTGTGGTGTACGATGCGCCCTGTGGTGTATGATGCGCCCTGTGGTGTACGATGCGCCCTGTGGTGTACGATGCGCCCTGTGGTGTATGATGCGCCCTGTGGTGTACGATGCGCCCTGTGGTGTACGATGCGCCCTGTGGTGTATAATGCACCCTGTGGTGTATGATGCGCCCTGTGGTGTATGATGCGCCCTGTGGTGTACGATGCGCCCTGTGGTGTATGATGCGCCCTGCGGTGTATGATGCGCCCTGTGGTGTACGATGCGCCGTGGTGTACGATGCGCCCTGTGGTGTATAATGCACCCTGTGGTGTACGATGCACCCTGCGGTGTACGATGCGCCCTGTGGTGTATGATGCGCCCTGTGGTGTATAATGCGCCCTGTGGTGTATGATGCGCCCTGTGGTGTATGATGCGCCCTGTGGTGTATAATGCACCCTGTGGTGTACGATGCACCCTGCGGTGTACGATGCGCCCTGTGGTGTACGATGCGCCCTGCGGTGTACGATGCGCCCTGCGGTGTACGATGCGCCCTGTGGTGTACGATGCACCCTGTGGTGTATGATGCGCCCTGCGGTGTACGATGCACCCTGTGGTGTACGATGCACCCTGTGGTGTATGATGCGCCCTGTGGTGTACGATGCACCCTGTGGTGTACGATGCACCCTGTGGTGTATGATGCGCCCTGTGGTGTATGATGCGCCCTGCGGTGTACGATGCACCCTGTGGTGTACGATGCACCCTGTGGTGTACGATGCACCCTGTGGTGTACGATGCGCCCTGCGGTGTACGATGCGCCCTGTGGTGTACGATGCGCCCTGTGGTGTACGATGCGCCCTGCGGTGTACGATGCACCCTGTGGTGTATAATGCACCCTGCGGTGTACGATGCGCCCTGTGGTGTATGATGCGCCCTGCGGTGTACGATGCGCCCTGCGGTGTACGATGCACCCTGTGGTGTATGATGCGCCCTGTGGTGTACGATACGCCTTGTGGTGTACGATGCGCCCTGTGGTGTACGATGCACCCTGCGGTGTACGATGCGCCCTGCGGTGTACGATGCACCCTGCGGTGTACGATGTGTCCTATGGCTTGCAATACACTCCACAGTATGGAATGGCGCTCGACGTTTTGGTCAGGTTCTCCACATTCCTGTTCTGCGCTTCCTTTGACTTTCGACTTATGAAGGTGGTGACCGGATCTGGCATGAGTTGTGTGGATCAGAGTGTGCTACACTATAATCAATGACGTCATCAGCATAGTCATAACTACCTTTCATATACGGGCTTAATACTCGTATGTGTAACATGAAACTCAAAATGCATCAACATAGTAATTATTCAAGTTATTACAATAGATAAAAGGGGAACAAAATATCCGTGTAGCGTTAGTGTGAATGAATACTCAAAAGAAAACTACACATCTCTGGTAGTTCTGAAGCAGTCATGGAAATTCAGCATTCCTATGGCAGGTTCTATTCCATCCATGAAAAAAATACTATCGCGTTCCAACAAAGCAGTAGGTACTTTATCTACTCCAAGGGGATGATGGGTTGAGTGGGTCACCAACTGGGATTTTAAACACACTAGTGGAGTACTCTTCCTTAGTTGAATAACAACTTGCCTCGAGACATACTGAACAAAAACAATACTTTGTAGTGTGTCAGAGTAATCATTAATAAGATAAACACTCCTGGTGAACAAGCAGATCATAACGTAAGTTTATCTTGGCATCCTGTGCTTAATTCAAGATTTTCAGATAATTGTTGAGTCAACAGTGTGGATTTCACAAGCTGTGTGCTGGAATTGGATGCGGCTGCTTAACATGCAATAGCTGTTAATTCAGTGGTATGATTGTGGGAACGTGCCTCATGAACCGCACAGCCAAGTGTCTCAATGTTGATTCGGCAACATTGAATTGACCTGAATATCCATGGAGTATTTTGAAATTCCAGTTCAACAGCCGTCACCATGAGCAGCCCATCGCACATTGTTGCCATGTTCTTATGTCTGCAAATTGTAGTGGCAGCTTGTTATGTGGCTACTGAAGGCAATGGGGCACATGCATATAATACACCTTGTGAAAGACCCAACGCAAGAAGATCTCTGGGTTTTGATCTTCCACGAAATTCATGGTCCACCCTAAATCGCATCCACTGCACAAACCATGGCAGATGCGGATACCTCATGTGCAAATGTTAAATTAAAAACTCGACAGTGTGCGACTGTGGTCATCCAGAACAGACCGTACAAGACCATATACTGTAATGACTCAATGCCCCGATCCACAAATACGAAGGAGACATCACACATATGATGATACAACTCCGCTACTTCTGATGCAGTTATCTGGCTTGACCACCTGAATGTGAAATTGTAGTTGTTGCTCTACATCTACATTGGCCATCGAAAGAAGAATATAAATTATACTGCGTACTCTGCAGGAATGCCTCACTGTCTTCCAAGGCTAATTTTCGGGAACTTCTTGCATTGGGATATTTGACCAATTCAATTCATGCATTTGGCTTGTCGGAAGAAACTTGAGAACCCAGAGAAAACCCACATAGACGCCAGGATAAGGCTCAGAACTCATGCACCCAATAATGTTTCGGCTGTAATGCCATGTCCTGGTCACCTCAGAGCCCCAGCCTATAACCCCACTGAGCCTCCGAGAATGGATGAGATTAGGCACATCAGAGCGAATATGGTTGTAGGCACCTGTGAAGTGGGGTTCGTGTATCATCCTCACTTGTCTGACTTATTCCTTTGTTGGTGTTATCCATTCCTGTGTGGGATCCTCCAGGTACTTATTTTCTGTCCATACAACAACAACAAAAACACTAATTTTGGAACTGGCTAACAAATCCAATGCAGAACCCTCCTAAAAAAACACTGGAGACTCAGTGAACCTTTCTTTTATATATATATTTTTTGTTACCATTTTAGAGCATTATAATATAACGTTACATTGAAACACAGGAGTAGAGAGCACAAACAAGTCGAGGCTTAATTTTAGCTGCTAAGAAAAAATAAATGGGTTTGGCCTGGGCACGGTGCTACAAGCGGTGATGGTTGGTGGTCGAAACCAACTATGAAGTTTGGCGGCCAAGGGAAGAGATATTACCGAGCGTGGAGTACATTAACCGTGGAGATGGAGTGATGAAATCAGCTCGTGTGCAGGTGTGAGGTGGATTGTTACATCACAGAGATAGATGGCAGTGGCTTGGGGGGGGGGGGCCTTCATCCAGGAGTGGCTAGATCATGGTGGCTGGCGATGACAATAGCATGTTCCTTTCTTCACGAAACGGTCCTCTCTTGCCGTATAGCCAGAACGTTCACATTTCACCACGCTTAGGCCTCGGGATCAGTCTGTGCATATGTATTGAGAACACTAAATCAGGATTAATTTCATTTTGCAAGCGGTCTGGCTGAGCACACTGTTGTCAATAACCTTTTACCAGACTCCATGTGGGAGGTTGAGCACAAAAGCGATTGCGTCTCGAGTGATTTGCGCCGCTTTTTTAATTTTCCCACACAAAAGCCTGACAGCGGAGGCATGAATAATAATATCAGCACTCGTGTGTCTGTGGAAATCAAACATCCAGTGTGTAAATGCACAGCTTTACTTTACACCTCTTGCAGTCAAACACAACAACACCACCACCACGTGCTGTGTTACTTGACATCTTATTTCAGCAACTGATAACATACTGCATGCATTTTTAGCGTGCGGTTTTTCTAAAGCAATGACGAAGATCCCCTTTTTCAGTACTCTATTAGATGCACTATTGAGGGTGAGTGCTGTCAGTGAGCACCTATTATGGACAGCAGCAGTACGTGCGTCGTGTCTTCAATGGAGCTTAAACCACGCCGGCGATGCCTCTTCAATGTTTTCCTACACCCCACATGCGGGGCACTTTTTTTGGTTAATGCTGAGCTGACCTCAAGGTAGCCCCGAACACGTTCGGATGCTAATTGTCACTGATGCCAGCAAATCGCCAGGAATTAAACTCAACTTGCCGGGCTCAAAGTGCAGTGAAATCGCCAATCTTTTCCATCACTGGCCACAAATGCAAAGACAAAGAAATAAGCCATACAGCCTTGACAGACTGTAGGAGGAAGTTCTGCAGCGCGCTAACAGCTACACTACCGCTCCTCGTTTACGAACACAGACATTTTTGCAAAACTGTTTCACCTGCACAAGGCAACAATAAAAAAAAAATCCCCCATATAGCCTTAAAAGAGTGTTGGGGCAAGTGCCGTTAGCGAGCACCGTTGAAGGCCGGCATGGCACACGAGAGGGTGGGTGGCCAGCACCACGCCTGGCCGCCTTTGTCTCTCCAGTGCTGATGTTTACGCACCCAACCAGGTACTCATTTAGGGCTGAGTCAACCTAGAGGAGGCCCAGGACCAGTT